AGCGAGTATATAATTTTTAAGGCGTCATCTTTCATGACAAATTTTGCCATAAAAAAATTAAAAATTTCCAAAAAACTTTGTTCTTTGAAACACGAATAATACAGTAAAATAGTTTGGAATTATTGTCTTTTTAATTTAAAGAAATTCCGAAAAATTGCTCCAATTTTCACTCGAAAGAGTAGAATGGCCTCTTAAACATTTGTTGCTCAAGTGTAATTCTTATATGTATTAATATTGAGTTTCATTATGTTTATCTGTATAATTTTTTCATGTTATCAGATATTTTTAAATATTACGATGAGTTACTCCGTCAATGAGAGTAATTAATTAAAAACGTCCCAATAAGAACAAGAAAGTATAATATACGTATATTTATGGTCTTAGCGTATAGTATAAACATGTAATATTAAACGTATATGACTTGGGTATAATTATCGTTTCTATGACCGTCTCGTATACGATTTCATATACCAATTTTTATTCATGTATTAAACGTTAAACATATACGAATTAAATTCGTACATAAGAAACGAATAAATTATGTTTTATGTAGTCGTATAAAATACGTATTGATAAAGCAATAATTTATTTGTTTTTGATATTCAAATTTAATTCGTATTATGTAGCCGTATAAAATACGTACTGATAAATCAATAATTTATTGGTTTCTTATATCCGTATTTAATTCGTATTATGTAGCCGTATAAAATATTACTACTAATAAATCAATAATTTATTCATTTCTTAAATGTGTACTTAATTCGTATTATGAAGCCATATAAAATACGTTCTGATAACGCAATAATTTAACCATTTCTTAAATCCGAACTTAATTCGTATTATGTAGCCATATAAAATACGTTTTGACAAAGCAATAATTTAATCTTTTCTTAAATCTAAATTTAAAAAAATGAAAAATATGTTATTAATAAAAGTATATAGCACTGCATAGGTATATTGCACTTCCAAAAATCTTCGTTATTTGGAATGTACTATCACAACTCGAAGAATTTGTGCAATTCAGTGCCACCTGCCCATATGCATAAAACATAGTATACAAACAATACTAACAAATCAGAATTTTTCTATATTATATATTAAGTTAAATCTGTTAAATGATCCAGTTAGAGAGCTTATAACTCTAATGTAGCAAATTTTTGATGAATTTTTGCGTAATTCGCTAATGAGCAACTCGAAACGCGACGATAACTTAATTGGAAATCTGGATAAGTAAAAATATGACAAGTAAATATATA